CTACTCTTCATAAAGACTGATAATAGTATCTGGCTTGAACAAGTATATACTTGTTGCCTATGAATTTTATGGACTGTTAAAAAAAATTCCAGCAATAAACATCAACACATGAGCAAGGCAGATAAAGGAAGAAGAGGGCATCTGTCACCTATCAATAGTATCCTAATTCCCTCAAGGCATTCCATCCAAGTGTGTTTTGGATCGAATTTTAATCAACTTTACTTAAAAGAATAATCTTCAAGTAAAAGCACAGGTCAAGAGTGCTCATACAAAGTCCTTAAGTGAGCCCAGCACAAATTTATGCACGTGTCTCTCCAGAATGCTTGTTGAAATAAGGCATTTGTTCTTGTGGTTACTGGAATGGAGCTTTCTCATAGAGGGCTAGGAAAGGGAAGAAATATATTTAATTCCTTAGCCTTCTATTTCTTCATCTGAAAATTAAGGCATATGAATGCATGAGCTTCCCTCTCTTGATCTCAGGATCTTCCATTTCAAAATCCTAAGATATTATAATCTCTTTGGTCCTTTAAATCACTATATACATACATACATACATACATACATACATACATATATGTATATATATATATATATATTTAATTTCATGAAATTTTGCTTAATGTTTTCAATTAAAATAGAAATGAGCAGAAGTCCAGAATTCTGTAACTTTGAACTCAGAGTTTTCCCAAATGACAGTAAAAGGAAGTGATGTATTTAGCCAGATTGGGACGCAGAAACCTCCCATTTGTTTTAATTAGGGTTGCTTGTGTCCTGAATCACTATTCTCATTAGCACTGCTATGTAAAGTTATTGGTGTTTCCTTTCTGGTTCTGCTATCCACCGTGCAGGCACCGTTTATTTTAATGTATTATTGGACAGTACTGAGGGATAGTGTAACCTTGTGGGATGGACCAGTTTCAAGATTAAGACACTGCTGATTATTGGGTCATTGATTTAGAACAGAAAGGGGACTCTGAGGTCATTTATTTCAATTCTTTAATTTTACAGATGATAAAAATGAGGCCCGGAAAGGTTAAGGAAGTTAATCAAGGCCACACGAGTAGTAAGTGGTAGAGCTAGGGAAAGCATCAAAATGGAGTCAGAAACTAGACTAGTGCTATAATTTATTGTGTGGGTGAGAAGCACAATAAAGGGAGGAAGAGAGGATATATCATGCTATAAATTAAAGGTCGCCTACACCAGCACTCAAGGAAACACTCAAAATAATCATCTTGGAGTTAGTATTGTACAGTGAACAGAACGCTGTATTTGGAGTACCAATCCTAGCTCTGCCACTTCCTATCTGTGTGACTTTGGACAAATCACTTCCCCTCTATAGGGATCAGTTTCCTCACCTGCAAAGTTACTGGACTGGGCGACCTCAAAGATCTCTTCAAGCCTAGATCAATCATCTTGGTGCTTGAGAAATTGGGTGGTGTTTAGACTTCAGAATACATGGAAGTACAGAATTTGTAGTCAGAGGACATGAGTTTGAACCCTATGTCTAGCCTTTAACAACTACAAGATCATAAGCAAATCGTGTAACTTATCTGAGCTTTAATTTCCTCATCTATAAATTGGGCATAATAATAGTAGTTATACTATTTTGTTCTCAGGGTCATTCTGAGGATTGATTGAAATATAATGCATACAGAATGATCTGTGAGCCATAAAGCTTCATTGGTGTGAATTATTTTTTAAGAAGGATTTTTCCTGATCAAACAAAATTTTAGATTTTCCTCTTTGGGGTTATCCATCCATTAGCAACAAATATGCCAGAAAGAAATAAAAGGACAGACAGTTTGAAATGAACCAGAAATGATACTGTGGAGCTGGAATGGTAAATGAAGTTTAAAAAAAGAATAAAGGAATAAGCCTAAAGCCAAAGATGTTATCACATATGTTATCACATATGTCATTAAATGAATACCAGGAAGGACTCATGAATGGTAATGTGAGAGTCCTCATTACTTAATTATTTAAGACTAGACCACTACCACAGAGGGGAAGGGGACAGTCAATAAGCTGGTGAGTTCAGGAAAGCTAGACAGTCATTTTAGATAATCTGGGTCTCCAAATCAGGTATATTCCTTTATCTTAAATGATTTAAAAAAAAAAAAAAAAAAAAGTAAAATTAAGCTTTCTCTCTCTCTTTTTTTTTTGACCCTTCAGGGCAATTATTTCATTATGGACCCACTTGCTCTTCTAGGAATTGTTTACCAAACTAACATCTATCTTTAGAATATGCGAATATGCTAGAGACACCATGTGGCATCTTTCAAGTAGTAGAAACTGACAACATGCCTAGATCACAAAGAATGGTTTGTTACTCTGGTGGACACCTGGTTGAACTCTAGAAAAGGTGGTAGAAAGAAACTCTTCAGGTTGACCATTCTCCTTTCCTTATAACATGCTGTCAAAGGAGAATCAATCAAAGGGAAAATAGAAAGTAGGTCCAAGGATTCATTTGAAAGTAAATGTCTTTACAGCAAGAAAAAAATAAAAATGATTTAAAGATTGAGGCAGGAATTAATCTTCTCTACAATATCTGTTCTCTAGAATTGTCACAGAAAAATGGAATTGTATTTACGTACTGATGCCTATGAATCCAAAGGTGAGAGACAGAATAGAAATCATAGGAAAAAAATATTTGTAAAGAGACAATATGAGACAGGAATTAAAATAATTCAGTGATTTTTCTTTGAAGAGATGATATGTATTGTAAATGGAAATATGTTTTTGCATAATATTTAAACACAAAATATTCTTAATAATGAATGATAAGAGAAAATCATGTTGCTTTTAGATTTCTTAACACAGTTGATTACATTTAGTGTTTTCATAATGAATTTTAGGTGCCTGCCACATATAAATCAGTTTAATTTCAAAACAGATTATTGTTCATGATATTCTTCAGAATTGTTCCAATGCCTCTTGACACAAGATTTAGCTAATATGTGTTTACATTTAATGTGATTATAAAGAATATTCAGATGCCTTAATGAGAGACCTTAGGAAAACACAAAACAGTATTAAAAATGCATGTCCATAATTATGGACTCCACATTAAGCTAGCATTTAATGGCATCTGTTGATATCATTCTCTGAAGCTTGATTTATATCAGTTTATTCCTTTCAAATATTTAGTTCATCATTCAAATGAGGCCAAATATTCTATAATCTAATACTTACTAAATGCCAATTTAAAATTTTAGACTGAGCAATTCAGAACTAAATAATTTAATCGTAGAATTTCATTTCCAAGAATTTTCTTTGTCAAAACATCAAAATACTTGCATTAACAATGCTTCCTAAAAATTCAAACTACAAACCCATTTGTCCTATCCCATTTTTCCCCCAATGGGTATGGCCCAATTATTGGTAACAAATGTAAACTGACATGACCAAAATATTGCCTTTCCAGAAGTTACTATACGCTATTCACTTCTTCTTATTTTTGGAAAGATGGATAAATGACACTGACATTTTAACTTAAACACAACCATGCTGAACCTTATAGATAACCACTTTTGACTAGACTACAGGTATTCCTAGGTGGATATGCAGAATAGGATTAGGAGATGCTAGATTAATTCCTGTATTCACCAATGTTTCCAAGCAAGTCTTTTATGTTCGTATAATTTTAGGGAAAATAACAATAAATTCTAAATAAGTGTGCTGTGCATTTACTTCTTTCAGAAAATAATTTTGATGTTATGTGAGATTTATCACAACCATATAATTAAAACGTGTATTTGTAATGACTAATGATCCCACGGTGGATTTTATATTTATATAGTTTTTTCTTCTCCAAGCTAATAAATGTGTATTTTGTACAGGAAAACAACACATCGTATTCCTTTCTCTTCCATTCCCACAATGCTGCAGTTAATAAAGGACTTTCTAGATCTGTCACTCACATTTCATGTTTCATCAGTTCTTTAAATCAATAAGGTGTCATCATTCCTATATTGTAACAGGGAACTGCTGAGTGGTTTCCTATGGGTAATAGAGCTTTTAAAGTGGTCAGAATATAAGGAAACATTATTTTTCAATTAACAGCTGTAAAGTCTTTCACCCTCATGTGTCATTTTAAAATAAGCAATTTATCTGTACACAGCATTTTCAAAAAGTATGTTCTAAACACTATCCTTTCTTTTGCCCCAACAGTCAAGCTTTTTCTAAGGCAATAGCAAAGGGTATTTGAGACCACCTTCCCATCACCAGCACACGAGCCCTTCCTCTCATTTAAATTTTGGAGGTTCTGTTTTCCAAGACCCAAAGAAGTGTTGAGAAATATAATGGCTTTAAGTCACTCCTGAGTTATTTCAATAATCTCAAATTTTGTATGGCTGAGATATTTTTCACTTCTGGTCTTCTATGATTCTGTATACCTTATTAAATCTAACTTCCTTAGAATGACACTCTAAATATAATATATGCCAAATACACTCAAATGGACCTGTGATCTTGTCACTGATGCAGATCAAAGTATTTGAATATATCTATAACAAAATAGTTCAGGTTGTGAAAAGTTTCTGTGCTTTACTTAATGCCTTCTTCCCAGGGAATCCTCCCTAAAAGCTTGCTGAATTGAATTGGGTCACATTTCTCACTATTAATCTGGCTTTTTTGAGCTCAATAACTACTGTCTTTAATTAAATCAAGTTCATTTAGCTTCATCAGTTCCTATATATAACTGAATGTTATTTTGCCTTTTAAAAGTGATCAAATTCAGGGAAGACTTACCCTCTGGGAAGTCACCTGTTAGTTTTTTTTTTTTAAGTTTTTCTAATATCTTCATGGTGGTATCTACTTCAGTGGAATTAAATGCCTGCCATCAGACAGTCTTTCACTAAGTTTATAAAAGAAAATAAAGATATCAGAGCTGTCTGCTTCCCTCAGGGAGGAAACAAGAATACTTACATTGTACTTCCACCCAACTCCTCGTAGAGATGGGGACCTCCTGGGGGAGCTTGTGGTGGTGGTGGAGGAGGTGCTGCTGCTGCTGCTGGGGCTGGGCTGCTGGCTTGGGCGCTGCCAGGGCCTGCATCTTGGCTGTCTTGGTGCATTCTTCTTGTCGTCTTTGGGAAATTAAATATATATATTTTTAAGTTTCTCACAGAAATTACATAAATATGATAGTGTAACTTCTATCACTAACATTAATATGAGGGAATCAAGAGTTCAGAAAAAAAACTCATTTATAATAAATTAACCAATTAGTATATGAGAAAAGACATATTATTTTTATTGAAAAGAGCCTACCACAGGGTTATTTGAACTCTCCAGATATCCTATGGTTTTAAAATACTTTCTAGATCACTAACCAAATGACAAAAGGATTAGGAAGGGAGATTGTGGAAAAGCACAGTGGAATTAATGAACAGGGGAAAGTATTGGCAATAGGATCAAAAGACTTCAGGTGGAAACTGAGGGTTCAGGAGTCTCACCCTTTCCAGTGCTATGACCAGAGCAAGTTACTCAATCTCCTTGAATCTCAGTTTGTTCATATGTAAAATGGGAATAATACTTTCAATAGCTATTTCACAAGATTGTTGTGAAGGAAGAGTTTTGAAATATTAAAGCGTTGTAAAGGTATGATCATTTATTAAATTTCAGAAACTATTAAAACTAAGCATTAAAACTGTGAATTATAAGTGAATCATTTGGATCCTGTATCTTTGTGTAGTTTTTGACAGCCCACTGTGAGGGCTACCATTTATTTATTTGATTTGTTTACTGATGCCGTGCTTATTTACAAGTATCAAAGAGCCAGAGCCAGAGTAATATGAGAAATAACACTTTCTCACATTCCACTGTGATCATTGACACTGTGAAGACACAGACAAATTTTAAATGTACAGAAGGGAAAGTGAGTCATGCATAATCAAGTACAATCTGCACCCCTCACGCACACACACACACACACACACACACACACACTCCCCAAAGTACCTGATATGCCTATTGGTATGAATTTAAATGTTAACCTCAGCTTCATTTTACATTTGATAAACCATCATGTTACCTGTAAGATAACAGGATACTTACACTTTAAACCTGTTTGATGAAGTAAAGAGTGGGAGGGAGGAAGAAAAGAAACCAAAGATTAGATAGGTGACATTTGTTATATGACTCAAAATTTACTTCAAATCTTAACATCTTTGCCCTATTGATCATGATGAAACATTAACAATATTAAGTCTTAAAACTCTGCACTTTTAAATGCATTTCTTTTATATCATTGCTCTAAAAATTTTAGAAGCAGCTATTTAAAAAAAAATCCTCCCTTTAGGAGAGATTTAAAAAAACCAAACAAACATAGAGGCTAAGTAGAATCAGAAGAAAATGGATTAGAACATGAATATATGAACGAGAACTCTGATCATGAAATAAGATATTAAAGATGACCTAATCTTCCTAATTGGCTTCTTGGTTCACCTGACCTGAAAATAAGAAAGGAGCAAAGCTGCGCGGCAAGACATGATTGTATTCTGGGCTTCACTTTGAAGCTGAAGTTTGAAATGGAAGGTGCCACCATTGGGTAATGAATTCAGGATCCTTTTTCATAATTGGTTTCTTGCTTTGTCCTCCATAGTGAATTTCAAATGCCCTTGTGAATAGCAAAGAATAACGATACTTCCCAGGCTTATTTACAAGCTGTATGTGTAGGCACTGAAGTGAGATTTTTAACTATTACAATTTTCCACTGGATGGTAGGCAATGAAAAACTAATTTTGTTTAACTGTTATTTTTTAAAATGCAGTAAGTAAAATTAATTCATTGGGTATTAAGCTGATCACTGAGCTAGAAAGCATTGAAGAATTCATCTACCACAGAGCACACACACAAATGTTTAAATATCAAGCAAGGCTTAATTATTCCATTTTATGAGCTTTTAGTGTGACATCTTGCTTTATTCAGGACTGATCATTGCAGGGTATGACAAGAAGCCTTTTGGGGGTGGGCACTAGAGTAGGACATAACAGGGTTACTTTATATGAGATACCAATGGAAAATAAAAGAAAAAAATTGTAATGCAGAACAGACAATTTAAAAATTAGGTACTGTGGAGATGACTCAAAAATTTATGAGTCATTGGCCATTATTAGACTTTTAGTAGGCTAGATTTTTAGTGAGCTCATTGATTAATGAAGAATCCATTAAAATTGAAGCTAAATTTCATATTTTTAATCTCTAATTTTGGTTATTAAAACTTCTTGTACTATCTTAATGTAAAGCAACATTGGAATAGAAAATGCCCATGCCCAGGTTTTGTTTAGGGTAATTTTCTGTGATTTTATGCAATGCCCAATTTTTAATATATTACAACAAAGATCATATACATACCATGTCATAAATATATCATCTAACTTTCTCAAGGTATTTTTGTTTGTTTGAAGTCACTCATAATCAAGATATGCAGGTCAGGATGGTTTAGTGGGAGCAGAAAATTGGATTACCAGATGACCTGGGTTTTACTCCTGTTCTGACAGTAAACAGTGTGTGACTTTGGGCAAATCATGATAGGCCTTAGGGGACACTAGAAAGTACACTGGATCCCACTCCTGTTACTTCCTGTGTAACCTTGGGAGACTCAATCAACCTCTCTGGGCTCCCGTCCTTCATCCTGTAGCCTGAGGAGGATGGATTAGATGAACTCTTAAGATCCTTTCAGATCTACATCTAAGCCAGGATCCTCGGACCTTAGGGGTCTCTGTGGCTTCCATTTATCTTTCAACAAAATGAAGAGTATTGACTAAATAACCTTGAAGGTACTTCCAGGCCCTATCTTTAAGTGAAGTACCATCATTTAGATGACTGCTGACAGAATTGGATTTTGGCTTATCATATTTCTCTTTCTGCCATCCTAAAGATCCTGGAACTCTTCTTCCTCTTTAATAGTTTACCATTTTGTTTTTGGATAGCTATCATTACCACTTGACATCAGTTTATTTTCTTGGCTCCCACAGCAAAAAGTCAAGCCCTGTTTTCTCTTCGAATTTCAATTTTTGCCGGGAAAGAGATGGAGATGCACTCATTACTCTCTAAAGCCTTCCTGGTTCAAAATGCTCTGTTCCTTCATTTCCTTAAGATTCCCCTTGCACATGGTCAATTAATACCAATATTTCTTGTGAAGAAGAGGGATTTGTTCCTTCAATCTTTCCCATTCCCTCTTTTCCCCAATAATAAGTGGCCACTTCTATAGCTTGTATTTAAAACTGTAAGTACTGTATTTAAGTGCTTGTATTTAAAACTGTACTTAAAACTGAAAGTACCAAAAAGAAGAACAATTCATTTTCCTAAACTGTGTGTCATGATGCTCCCTGCCTTCCTCTTCTGAAAGTTGTAGAAATCAAGGGCCTGCTTCTCCCATGCTGACACCAATACGCCTGCAGTAGTAAATACATACTCATCGACTGAGTATATAAAGCAGATCTCCTGAGGAGGCCCATTGGTGATTAGTTGCAAATATCCTGTGTTGAAGAATAATGGAAGGGCTAACCTGCTGCTCTTAGCCAAGTATGTTTTTCTATAGCATCTAGAAGTAAAGGAATCCAGGAGGGAGACTTTGCGCCAGCTTAATAGAAGTTTAAAATAATTTTGCCTCTTTCTCATGATAATGATAGCCAACAATAAGAGCTAACATTTATCTAACACTGTAAGGTTTTTATAGGGCTTCAGATATATTATCACATTTGCTTCTCACAATGATTCTGTGAGAAGGACACTATTATTGTTCTCATTTTGGAGATGAGCAAAGTGATGCTGAGAGAGGTTGTCAGATAGGTAATTAACTGTCTGCTGCCGGATTTGAAATGAGGTCTCCCTGACTCAAAGCCCATGTACATAGGAGGCAGTTTGGTTTCAGGGTAAACTCTATTTGGAGTTAGGTGCCTTGGTTCTGAGTACTAGCTCCAATACTTACTAAATGTGACATCTTACGTGAGTGACTTTATCTCTCTGAGTCTGGTTCATCTGGAAAAGAGATGTATTTGCACTGCATGTAAGCATCGCCTACTTTACCATGTAATTATGATGAAAGTCTTTTGAAAGCCTTCAAGTTCTGTAATCTGGCCCATTAACAGAGTAAATTTCACATATTTTGGACTTGTCAGAGAATTATATCGGTGTTCCAAGGACCATTAACACATGGGAGTTATAATGGCATTCCAGATGTTGCAAGATGAGAGTACAATACACTCTGACTATTGCTCTCTATTTTGGACACTCTGCCCAGCATCTGCAGGCACGAAGCACCATTTTCCACTTATCATTCTCTGCCTGATTTGGCAGCAGGCTGGACTATCCATTTCCTTGAAGCTCTCAGTTAGTCTTCTTGCTGTGGTCATTTTATCTTGTTGGCTACCTTATGAATCTTTTTTGCCAAGAAGTGGCCTAGACATTAGTGTCATGCTCTCTGTTTTGTGTGAAAGTTCTGCAGGAGAGAAGATGACATTTCCAATAGTTGTGGAAGACAGTAAAGTTTAGGATGATACCAAACTTAATGTAGGGATCTTTAAGGTCATAGGTCACAGAATTTCAGAGTTGGAAGGATGTTAGCAGCTATCTCATACTTGAACAAGAATCCCTTTTATCACATACCCAACAATGAGATAACCAGTCTTTGGTAGAAGAACAAAAATGAGATGAAATCTACTAGCTTGGTATAGTGGAAAGTGTATTACATTTGGAGTCTTGATTTAAATTTCACCTCTACACATTTTCCATTGGACAAGAAAGGAAATCAAGATCTCGGTTTCCTCGTTAAAAAAAAAATGAACTCTAGTTCCTTTCCTACTTTAAAGTTACGATCCTATGAATTCCAAAGGCTTTCTATTTCATCTCAGGAAACCTGTAGTTGTAAAGGAATGTTTTCCTGATATTAACCCTATGCTTGCCATTTTCCCAACTTTTATCTCCTATTCTAATCCTATCCTCTAAGACCAAACAGAACAATCTAATCATTCTTCCGCATGTTGTCTACCCATTACAATGAAAATACTTTCAGCTTAGGGACTCTTTCATTTTTGCCTCTGAATTCTCATTACTTATCACAAAGCCTGGAATATGTAAAAGTTTAAGAAATGTTTGTTGATATGTTGATTCCATAAGCCAGGTCTTCAAGCACTTGAACACATTTTTCTTTAGTAAAATTTTCATAACGTTGGTTTTCCACCAAATGATATTTTGATAGACTCTCCAAAGTATTAGATGATGATTTCTTAAAGATCCATCGATCTCACAGCTTGACCTATACTTACTGTCTGTAGCTGACCAACACGACCAAGATGGCAGGAATACAACAGAGGATGATAATCATGGCTAGTGCAAGCAGTGCCCCTTCAGTATAGCCAAAAGACTGCCCATGTTTTTTAACCAACGCCACTGCATCTGGTGTGCGGATTTCCAAAATTCGTCCTCCTTCACCATAATATGGCTGGAAGTCTTTATTAATATCTAGCAGTTTCCCATCTAGGAACCTTCAATATTAAAACACAGAGACAACAATCAGTACCATACATTCCAGACTGTAAGCCCTTGGAGAGCAAGTGGACTGTCATTTAAAAAAAGTTTCCTTAGTATCCAGCACTGAATCTTACACATAAGGAATAGTTAGAAAATTTTTTGTTGAATTGAATAATGGAGTGAAATTGTATAAACCACAACTTGTAAGTAAAAGTTTTTACAATTAGAATTAATGAAGATGTAATATCATAAAAAGACAGGCTGAATAAAATGTATTTATCAATATAAATGATGAATTACCATTAATATATTTAGATAAAATCAACAAGTTATCAAATGATTCCTAAGAGTTGGTAGACATGGATACATGAATGTTGTTGTCCTTTCTCTCTTGGCATACAAGTTGATTTGCAATAAACACTGATACATGTTTTCAGGTTTGGATGTGAGAATAGATTCCCACATTCTCTAAATGGTAACAACTCATTATATACATTGAACTCAGACACTGAAAAGTGGTGGCGTAGAGTGTAGTGTAGTGGAATGAATAAAATGTTGGACTTTGAGTAAGCAAGACCTGCTGCGTCTCAATTACTTCTCAGACACTTGCAAACTGTGTGATCCAGTGAAAATCATGGAAGCTTTCTGGCTATTCAAGGTCTTTCTACTGTTCCTCATTGTGAAAATTATGAGGTAAGACTCAGTGACTTCTTTGCTCCCTGCCAGCTTTGAATCTCTCATCTTGTAATATCAAGATCCTCATGTCTTCCCCTCTAATTACCCGCATTTATATTATCTCCCATTACTCAGAGGTAACTGAGATTTGGAACTGACCATTTACATAGGCCTTTTTCCTGTCTTATTTTAGCACTTAAACTAGGTCCTAACAGACCTACAATGCTCAATTCTAACCCATCAAGAAATTTTATGTGTCATAACCAAACATGAAACGCTCCTTGAAGAGACGTGGGATAAGAATCACCATCATCTCAGACTGGAACAAATCTGAAAACTCTCTTGCCCCAGAAAATGGGGTAAGATTAAGCAATTTGGATTTGGCCTTAATTACTGTCAACCCTTTCCCACTCAAAAAATCATGCTCAACTTTGCACAAGCCTTTCTTATCCTGAAACCAAAGGTTATTGGTTGCTAGATGTGGGAGGTT